GAGAGAGAGAGAGAGAGAGAGAGAGAGAGAGAGAGAGAGAGAACCTAGTCGATCAGTCTACATGATGTATAGACACAATAGTATTAAGCATATAATCGTGTTGTGTGTATGAGTGAGGGCACCTAACCTGTGTAACATTCCACGGCTATTGTAAACGACCAGGACACATTTTTCCCTGTGCGATAAATAAAGATTGTCATTGTCTTTGTTAAACATTCATTCGAGTGTGCCCTCTCCGCTCCTCCAACCCTCCCTCCCTACTGCTGTACGCTGTGTTGTATTGTAAAGCGCTCAGAGCCTGCGTACGTTAATCGGGGGTGAGCGCTATATAAAAGTCATTTTATTATTATTATTATTATTATTATTATTATTATTATTTTACTGCTTCCTTGTTCCCAGGAGGAACACCGAAAACGAATACACGATCTGGAGAGAGCGCACGAGGAGAGCCTGGATGAGAAAGACCACACGATCCGTTCTCTCAAACTCCTGGTGTTGGATCTGGAGAGGAAGTTGGTGGACAGCCAGAATGACTGTGAGTACATGACACGGCAGGGGAGAGTGAAAAAAAAAGTGGGGGGGCAGTACCATTTTTAACATGCACTTATTTTGTTTGTTTGTCATTTATGTATTATTTTGTCTTCGCTTTGTGAGCAGCAATACAACAATAACTAAGTTAACAACACACAACACTAACTAAGTTAACAACACACAACACTAACCTAAAAAATAAAGATCAGATTGGATGTGGTTGGTTTTCTTGTTGTATTTTTAGCTTGTTTGGTTGGTTGGTTAGGGTTTTGGGGGGTTTTTTTGGTGCGGTTTTTTTTTGTTGGGGGGCGGGGGGGGGGTTCTCTGATATGGTTTGTTCCTCCTTTCCTATCAAATATTTGTCGTCTTTATTTCTCCTCCTCCTTTTCTTTGTACGTTACACTCAAGTAACACCTCTCATCTTCGTCATTATTGTGACATGTTTGTGTTGTAAATGTTGTAAAAACCCACACTAAAACTAAAATTTAGCTATGACACTAGCAATAGTACAGCAACAACTACTGCAACTCTATTGGCATCACTACTGGCAATAATAACAAGAACATTGACACTATTGTCACACTTCTACAACCACTACAGTCACCACAAATAACAATGAAAACAACAACAGCAGGAACAGCAATGACGACAGAAACGATGGCAACACCAAAGCCAACGCCATCACCACCATCACTATTACCATCACAACCACCACCACCAAGCACAGGAGAGTGAAAACAGCAGCGCCAACAACTGGACTGCCTCACATCTTACTTGAAGGAGGCGGTGACCCTGGCGACAATCGTCCTTCAAGGAGTCATGGATAGACGCAACCACCAACAGCAACAACGGACTCCCTTGCCCCTTAAATCCGTCGGCCACACACACA